GTTGGTGTGTGTGTGTGTGCATGTGTGTGTGTCTGTGCGTGTGTGTTAGAGGAACTGAAGAGACTATTGGGTTGGGGAAATGGAACAAGGAGAAGAAAAGAAGAAAAGAAAAAATAATTGCTGGCAGGTAACACAAGCAAAGTACATTACTTGTGTGTGTAAAAATGTTTTAATGAAACCCATTAAATTGTATGATAAGCTTTTTTAAAAGAAAGTAAAACTAGGAGTATTAAGGAATAGGGAACAGATAAGTAGGTAATGATGGAGTAAATCCAATCAATGTACCTTTTCTGTTTGTTTGTTTGTTTGTTTGTTTTTGTTTTTGTTTTTTTCAAAACCAGTTTTCTCCATATAGCTTTGGCTGTCCTGGACTCACTTTGTAGATCAGGTCCATCTGCCTGCCTCTGCCTCCCCCAGTGCTGGGATTAGAGGCATGTACCACACCTGACTCATTCATTGTACTTTACATATGGACAAAAACACTCTTGTGAAACACACTACCTAGCACACTGGTAGCATCATCAGTCAATGCCCACCATCATAAAGGACAGACACGCTCAGGAGTGCACTGCCCAAGGAGCATTCCACACACGAACACCATCTATTGATGCACACCATCATGACAGGCAGTCCATATAAGCACCACCTGGCAAAGCCGTGACAAAGAACTGGAGAGCCACCATAATCACAGAGGTTACTTGTATCATATAGAGGAGATTGTGGAACAAGAAGGGACTTCAAAGACACCAGTAACATTCTCTGTCTTGTGCCTGACAATGGGGACCTAAAATTAAAACCCTTAGATTTCTTTAACTTGGGCATATATGTTAAAGGCAGCCTTCTAATCTGACATTTTTGCCATAAAATACAGAGGAGGCCTGACTGATAGATCAACCCCTACCCAAAAGACACTAGAAAGTTTGATGAATTGATTCAATAGCAAGGAAGATTTCCTGAACTCTTAAACTGTGGCCCCAATTGTGAATTAAAAAAATAAAAATAAAAATGACACCAAGATAGTGGTTTGAATAAGAATGGCTCCACAGTTGGTAAGGATTAGGATATAGGGCTTTGTTGAATGAGATGTGTCATTAGGGATAGGCTGTGAGGTTGAAAAAGCCCAATCTTGCAGCCCAGTCTCAAGTGTCTCTCTGCTTGCAACTTTGAGCCAGGTGTGAGAGATCTCAGCTACTGCTCCAGCACCATGCCTGCCTGCCAGCTGTCATGATCCCTGCCACAATGATCATGGACCCACCCTATGAAACTGTAAGCATGTCTTCAATTAAATAGTTTCTTCAGTAAGTTGCCTTGGTCATGCTGTCTCCTCATAGTAATAGACCCATAATTAAGACATCAAATGACAAGGAGTAAAACAGATGTTAGAGACACTTCAGCCCCAGTATTTCCAGGCTGTGGAGATGCCCAGTGTCACTGTTCACTGCTCTAAATGCAACATACCCATATGGGGGAAAAAAACCAATTAGAAAAATCAGGGTGTGATGAGAAAGAGGGACAAACAGACCAAGGACAGAGTAACCACCAAGGTGGTTTCTATTAGGCAGTTCAACACAGCTCATGGTGATGAGAATAATAAACATCAAAAGAGGTTCATGTTTTTCAGAGCCTAAGGGAGGAAGACTGCAGCTCAACCACTGCAAGAGAGGAACAGTGGCTCCTGCCAGGGTCTCAGCGTACCTTCAGCCACCTGTCAAGCAGAGGTGCACCTGCAGGTCTGGAGGCCTGTCAACAGGGCGGGAGAGTAGCATTCTGGAAGCAGAGAGCACACATGCTGCCACACTTAGGCACATGGGGACCGGGGTCTGGATGCGGGCAGGCTGTTTCCTCCGCTTGTGAAACACTAAAGTCTGACGAAAGAGGTTGATGCTCAGTCGGTACCTGCTGAGCGCCTGAGTACCAAATGCCTCTTCTTTCCCAGTCACAGGTGGCCCCTACATCCACTCACAGCCTGTGTGGGTCACTCTCCTGAGTCTGTTCATATGTGACAAGATATCACATCCCAGCAGCAACCTAGGGACAGCACCTCACTTCCGAACATGAGGCTGCTCTAAGAAGCACAAGGCAGACAACAGGACAGCTGTGGAGGAACAGCCACTGGGCAGATGTTGAACTTGCCAACATCTGCACTTAAAAACTGGTCTTCAGCAAACACAGAGGACTGGCCACAACAGCTAAGGGTCACACAGGTCACGTTAAGATGGAATCCATTCAACAAAATGGGCAGGGACTAAAAAGCAAAAGATGGCTAAAAAGTGATTTTTCTTTCAAATAACGATATGAGATTAAAAAAAAAAAAAAGTCTGACTTCAGGAAACACCCCAGGAGCCCCAGAAAGCTGCCATGTGAGATTCAGGACCTATCTTCACTTTCCCAGCTCCCAGCCAGCTAAGCAACTCCATGTCACCAAGCTAAGTAACTAGTTGACAAGCAGTACCACATTGCCAACTCACATGACTTTGAAGGGATACACCTGTTCTTTCCTAGCTGTGTCTTATTATAATTCCCCGCTCATGGGATGCAAACGTGAGCAAGTGAACCAAGCAGCTGCTTGGACCCTGAGGTTAAAGCCAAGCCCACGGTAGCAACCAACTCTCTGACAAACAACTAGCTCCAGAGACAGTAATCAACTTCTACCTCATGAAGTTACCATGCAATAGATTTGCTGTCGCCATGGATATATCCCAGCTTCCAAGGTACTAGAAATCTAATTGGCTCCTGCATACTGGCCAACACAAAACCCACCTTTCAATGCTTTTCCTCAAGGCCCTGCTCCTCATTTCATCCCAATACAGTTACACTCAAGTTATACACAGTCACCATTGGCCAGCCTAGTCTGCCCTCCTCCTCCAGAGGTCTGCCTGTCCTGTAGGCTGCACAGCCTTTGCTCAGCCCTGCAACTGCTAAATATACACACCTCATACCTCTGGAGGAGTCTTGGCTAAGCAAAGCCCACTGCCAAGGAGATGCTCCAAAGTAAGAGGACAAAGGCCTGACCTCAAAGCAATGGCAGTGGCTCTGGACCACAACTGAGACCAGAGGCTGCAAGGCCAGGTCTATGAGTTGTGGGGGAATCCCCCCCCCACACACACACACAGACAAATCAAGGTCTCTTTTCCATTTTTAAAGAAAATCTTAAGTAAAGAAGAGGTCCTAATGCATTACCCTTGTTTCCAGACACGGTAAGCACACCACCGAGAAGGGCAATCAAAGCCAAATGCCTCTGAGCCGCCGCTCCTATGGAAATTCATTTTCCCCTTTTGTGCTCCACAATCTACGAGCACTTTTACTTCAGCAATGTCGGAACTTTTTAGCAGCTTTAGTGCACAGGCAAGAGATGCCACGTTTAAAAGCGCATTTACTGGGGGAAAATAAAGATGAAAAACAAAGTATTTCAGATAGTAAGTCTACTTTAAAGAGATACCACTTACTTTAGTGACAAAAACATAAAGGTTATAAATAAATTTAATAAAACATACACAAGACCTTTCATGAGGTTTGCCTTGGTCTTGTGGCCCAGGTCTGTAATCCCAGCTATTTGGTAGGATGAGGCAAGAAGATCTAAAGTTCAGGGCATGTGCAAGCTACATTCATGAACACCAAGAGCAACTCAGACAGATCTGGTCTCAAAATAACAAATAAAAATAGGGCCAGAGATATAGCTCAGGGGCAGAGTACCCACTGAGCAGATCCAAAGAGTCCATGCAATTTCATTCACAAATCAAACAGACTTAAAAAAAAAAAAAAAAACTGGCAACCTGATTCTGAAAATGGCATGAATGAGTAAAAAATATGATGACCCAGTTGACTCTGAAGAGAAAGAAGAAGGCACTAATGTCCCTGTGGATGCCTGTGAATGGGGCACAGATAAAGCACTGAAGGAGTTAAGTCCAAACCCCTGCACTCCCCACTGTGACTGCCCACCCATAGGTGCTGCTATCAGGTACAAGCTAAACACATGGTGGAATTGAGAAAACACAAGACAGATGTTACAGTAAAATTCTTAAAGAAAGCATCCCATAATAACCTAAAAGGGCAGCGCACTCAACTCAGCAAGGCTAAGAGCATCCAAACAAGTAACTGTCAAAGACTTAGAATCCCAGATGTATAAAGATCACAAACTTTTTTAATGGGTGAAAAAAAGAAAAGGGGTGGGACACACAGTAACAAGCATTTCCCAGATCAGAGACACAGAAGACACCCATCTCTGTATACAGAGAGGCCCTTAAGACCCAGCAGCCAAGGAAAGCGAAGCCTGGAGCATGATGAGAATATCTACCCAACATATAGAGCTCAGGAGCCTGGACATGTTCCAAGAACTGCCAAGGGGGGTAGATCCAGGCTTCCGGTGCTGCAGGTAAAGTTTGTCTGCAGACCCCTCCAGGAAGCAAGCTGATGTTATCCTGAGAGCCTTGGAGAAATTTTCACAGGGGTACAACTGCATAAATGGACATGAGAATTCTAGCCACACTGTCCCAACAGTGTAACATCAGGAAGTGCCCAAACATTCACCCTGACTACTACACAATGAAAGAAAGCACAAGCTGCAGAGGCTGAATTGCACAAAGAACAGCACATACAGCTCAAGATTCAACAGTAACACACACTTCCTTACTATTGAAGTCACAATTGAAAATATAAGTTAGAAACAGTCAGTTCACCTCTTTCTTTTTTTTTTTTTTGGGGGGGGGGAGTGCAGAAATGGAGCTGGGGTGGCAAAACCACGAGCGTGGAGAAACAGCTTCAATGCTACCAGCTTCAAACTCACAGAGGCAGCTGGTCAGCACCGGAGAGGTTCTAACTCCTAAATTCAAGGACATACATTTCTACTATAAATATTCGCACATGTATTACATATATTCTTTTGTATGTGTCAATGTTCCACACAAGAACAATCAGAGATTCCCATGGCCCTCAGTTACAGTGAGAATCGGTCACACAGAGACAGGCATCAGCAGAGACTCCCCAGCCAGTGCTCCTCTTACCTCTGTCACCTTGGGCTGAAGAATCAGTGCTTCTGGACTCATCCTTGGGATGTCGATATGGATCTGCAGATACAGGAGAGACATATGTTTACCTTATAGGATGAGAGCAGCCTTTCACAACACATGTGCTTTGCCCATGACAGTCCTGCTCTGAGAGGACTGTCACCTCCATAGGTGGTACCCAGAAGCACACTCCACCTGAGCAAGGCTTACCTGTTCTGAGGTGACAGGCATGCCTGACCCTCCGCAGGGCAGCAGCGCTTCCTGCATGGTTAGGAACAGAGTGGGCCCTCAGGTCCACAGTAACATGAGCCAGCGCAATCAGTGAACACTGTTTTTTTTTTCAGCCTGACAGTGAGTGTGATCAAGGACACTGACAGTGCCTAGAATTTCAGCTGTGACAGGGCCATCTGTAACACAGGCCACATTCTCCTCTATTTCACAGTGTCCATGGGGAATCTAGGACACATTAAAGGAAACATTTGAAAGTTTCTGCTGTTGTCAGCAGATTCCTTCCTAAGCACTGCCTGACAGGAGAGTCTTGACAATGTTTGCAAGCAAAACTGTGAAGACCACTTGTGGAAAGCAAGGCAGGTTCAAGAGGTGAGCCAACAGGAACACTCTGAGTACAGCTGATGTCACAGGCTGGTTCACATCCCAGGAGCATACCCCACACCAGTAACATGAGCATCACTCTGGGGCTTCAGGGCAACAGCCTGCACAGACTGAGAGGAGACAGTACATTTAACCCAAAGGGGAACACAACAGTTTAGCTCCACCCTTGCTTATGTGCAAAGAGGCAGCTAACATTCAGTAAATGGGTCCACCATTATATTCTGACACTAGTTGGCCTGTCACCAAGAGTAAGCCTCTCAGGTTCAGCCTTTCGACCTACAAAAGGCTTGTTCTCTGTGTCCTTCAAAGGCTTAATAGTGACAGTCAGACTGAGTCCTCAGCACAAGAGAACAAGATAAAATAAGCTTGCAAAGTGAATGCACACAGAAGGAAACTCCATGAACAGCCTTGTTAAGAGACCCACACAGACCAGCGAGGTCAGAGAACTGACCACATTCAGGAACCTATGCATGAGTAAGGGACAAGAGTGCCCAGGTCCACTAGCAGGGCATCCTGGGGAGCCACCCTCCGTGCACTACTCCCTTTGGTGACAGTCCTGTGGACACATACAATATGTGCTGGGCTCCTGCAAGATGAAAAGCAGGCCTGACATGCCTCTATGCCCAACACCAGCAAGGACAACCTACACAAGAGGCACAGGCAATGTGTTTCTTGTGCAGATAGAATAGCACATGCATCATACCCCATATCCTACAACTGGCCTGCCTCATCAATCACAGGCCTGGGAAAATAGGGGAAAAGCCACATAGTCAGCAGGACTAGCCCACAGAGAGAAAGCCAAACCGGGCAAATGTTATCTCTAGTTCCAGGTGGCCTGGACATAAACCTTCAGTGAGACAGAAAATACATGATAAGCAAATGCAGGAAGGCACTAGTTCAGGGCACAGGCCAAGAAACAACATGCATTTCATAAGAAGGCTATAGAGTGCCAGGCACAAGCCAAGGAACCACATGCTAGCCATTACCCAAGGCAGACACAAGTCATCACTAACAGATCACAGCATCTATTTTGTAATCTGACTCGAGCTTCATGCTTTACTTCTGAAAAGGAATTCAAACAAGCCAGATGCTGCCACTGGTAGCAAATTGCCATTAACTGCTTTCAAATGTTTATTGTTAGGAACTATAAATCTGCAAGCCTATCAGGTTCCTGATAAAAGAAACATGTCAAAAAAAGAAAGAAAGATGTCCCCTACAAACCAGCTCCAAGTCCCAGTACTGAGTGATATGTGGAAGAGAAAAAGATATAAACATATACACACTCACCTGGCGATATGTGTCCTGATGAACTTCATCATTCCTAGAGTTGTAATAATGCTCAATGAAAGCAAAGTATTCCTTCTGTTTTCTCTGCAGCGTGGCTGGTCTTCGGTCGACATTGGCAGGAAGGTAACCCTGGAGGAACAAAAGAAACACAGGCATCCATGGTCACTGTGCATCACGAGAGTGAACAGCCAAGTGCTCACCTCCAGGATGACCCAGGCATGCTGGGGCCCGCCTAACACACAGGGAGGGCACTGTGAAAAAGCCCCCACAGAACAAAGCACACGGCACGTGCACTTCCCACAAGTGTCGCCAACCAATTCTAAGTTATCATTCATATCCCAAAGTCATCTGACAGCACCCAGACCCAGGGCTTTCCTGAAGCATAGTATGGAGATGCTAAAACCCTTCTCCACAGGGCTTACATCCATAAGGAACAGCCAGTCTGTCTGGTCTCACACTCGAATCATGTACACAAATACACATATTGCATTTATGAACAAGAAGTTGTCATATGGCCAAATATACATCATTCTCCAAAGCACCCAAGTGCTCCAGGCACTATGCAATACATTAAATAGACACATTTCTTGAAAGGAGCGGATGGCTCCAGTGGCCTTAAGGAGCTTGACATTTTATATGGTTTCCTTTTTGTTTCCTTGTTCTACATTTTAAATTAATCTTGTATGTAAGCTTTGTTGATTTTAAGCCCAGGCCTACAGCCTCAAAGAGAGCTTCAGGCAGTTGACCACTGTTCCCAGAAAAACAGGAGGCACTTTCCATCACCCACAGTGATGGTGTTCTCTGCAGCTCATTCCCACCATCTCACCTGGACCCTGATAGTGCTAGTTTCTCGCTAGGGCTGACTGAGTCTATCTGGGACTCTCCAAACAGATTCACTAAGAACCTAGGATTCTGGGCACACTTTCTTCTGAGATGCTTCTGAGATGTAGCCACCTTTGGGACGAGTCTGCCTGCCATGTGTTAGGCCACACAGTTCGGGTAAGCTACTTATGAATGAACAAAGCTCCATGAGTATTCTTGCAGACTTTGGAGATGTGCTTCTCTGATCCCTCAAGGCTAAATAGCAAGGGGAAGAGGGCTGCATCACAATGTAGACAGAAGTTTCTAAGGAACTGACAGATCTTTTCCAGTGTGACATCACTTCACACTTCAGTCAGCAGTGACTGGAGCACACTAGATGGGTACCCCATTTCCCTGGCCACAGTGACTTAGAGGCTCAGACGTGGAGGGGTGACCCAAAGCCCAGGGCTTTTCTTTGTTGCTTCCGTGAGTTAAGGTGCATAGAGTCTGGGCAGTGGCAGCCATGCCTTGAACACAAGGTACAAGCTGTTCTACAGCCTTGCCAGCATGTGGTTGCCATTCTGGCTTCTTTGTGGCTGTCCACCAGAACACAGTCAGAATCTGCATTTCCCAGGAGGCTGTGGGTAACACAGCAGGGGCAAGACAGATGCAGTCCACTTCCAGTCAAGTCACTGTCTCCTTCCAAGTCTGCAGCTGAAGCCTGTGAGAAGCACCCTCACCCCTGCCTGTGGAGGGGCTACTGTGACCTGGTAATGTCGTCCTGGGATGATGATCAGTCCCTCACTTGGAGAAAGCCCCAGTTATTGATATGCAATTGGTCCTTTTAGGAAAACACCCATTATCCAACATGCAGGCTCATATGCTGCACTTTAAAATCACAGCCAGACAGAGCAGCCCACACCTTCAATCCCAGCACTTGGAAGGAAAGGCAGGTGGATCTCTGGGTTCAAGGGGTTCAAGGCTAATCCGGTCTACAGAGAGAGTTCCAGGACAGCCAGAATTACATAGTGAAACCATCTCTCTTAAAACCCAAAATCAAAAAACAAAATCACAACTATATTCCCACTATGATTAAGTACCATTCGACAACAGGAGACACCAACTGAACCCACACCTGCTTCTGTCAATGACATCTTGTTAGTACACATTGTGCCTGTTTGCTGAACACTGTGTGACTGCTCCTGCACAGTGCCCACAGCACTTCATGGTTTACATGTGATTCACGGGATGACATACTTGCTATGGAGCCCTTAAAAGAACGCCTGCCAACCCCTACCGAGACATCACCCTGGAGGCAGCACAGCCATGCTGTGTGTTCTGCACATATTGACATGACCTGTGCCATTTCTAACACACCATTTCTAATTGGGTATTTGGAAACACACACTGACCAACAATGTCTGGGAATTTCCTGATATGAATTCCTCCCACATGTGAGCTGTGAGCACCACAGACTCCAATGTTTATTCTCAAGGAGCCCACATGAGGTGACCCCTGAAACACCCCAGCAGCCCTGTTCTACATGTGTCAAACACAACTCGCAGGTGAACAAACTGCAAAATGCTCACTTGATCATTTTCGAGGGAAAGGCTCACACTCATGGCACAGCATTCTGCCGACAGGGAAGCACAATCATCAGACTGCTACACTGGCTTCTCTTCTCTTTTCTGCAGAAAGGAGACTACCAAGACCCCACTGCACATTCTGCCTCCCACAACAGGTGCCACACCAACAGGACCAGCCAGGATGTCACCTACCCGGTAATCAGAGCCACTTGCGACACATCTGTGGATATCCCAGCAGAATTTGTACTGCTAGGGACAATAGGGACACGGCCTTGCCCCTGAGCTGAAGGTACAGAGTCATGAGGGTAGGCTAGTGACAGGCATTTCTTCATCCAGTTAAAGGCTACCCCAGGGACAACCCATCCAGACAGTAGGCTTTGTCTGTACCTCCTTTCTCCTTGGCGCTATCTCAGTTCCAGTTCGTATGAACGTAAAGAATAACAACTTCCTAAGACAGATCTTGTTCTTTGTCTGGTAACTGCCCATCCACAGGGTTTCTAAGGAAGGTACAGCCCCCACCAGGCAGGGCACCTCAGTGCTCATTTAGACCTAGCCATTTACAGGTAGTCAACATTGCTGCTTTAAGATGGGGAAACAGACTGGGCAAACCACTGTGGCATACAACACTGAGCAGGCTGGCACCTTGGCATCAAGTTTGATAACTGCTGTGCAGATTCTGTGGCCAGTGATAACCCTTTAACAATCCCACAGCCCTCTACAGTCTCCACACTCCCTCTGCCTTCTCAGGTCCTAGGGATATTGCTTCTGCTACTGCTCGGGCATCTTTATTTATCATCCATGCCAACCCATTCTGGGACCAAGAGAACTATGTGATCCACACTGTACTCAATGGGGCACTGAAATAGTAAGGACCAGACTGTGCATCCAAATATCTGCACAACCCTCCCTCCAGTCCTACCTCAAATGTCACCTCTCAGAGAGGCCCACCAGAATCATGTATATAAACAGCACCCTGACCGCCCTCTTATTCTGACCAGCACACATCAATCGCCTCTGCCAACTTCCCTACCCAATGTCTTTGCACTCGCTTTTAAACTCTATTTTATTTGAGGTATTTAAGCCTCTACCTCCCTTCCACCAACCTTTAACCCTAGGTAAGAGAAAGAAGGTTAGCGGGGAGAAAGGACACAGACCCCTTTACTTCTCCTGGCTGTTTAGGGTCAATGGGTTCTTTGGGGGCTCAGTCAACAGCAAAAACAGCAAGCACTCTCCTCCAGCCACCGCATTGAAACACTTCTCTTAGTGTCTCCTCTAAGGAACCATACCATCTCTACTCTCTCCGAACTGCCACACCTTCTCTTTCTAGAGAAGAGCCCTCTAGAATATCCCTCAGAGCCCTAGACCACACCCCTCTCTATGCTGCAGGCCATTACCAGTTGGCAAAGATCATACCCCATAGGAGGCAATTATCAGCTGTGGACAAACTAAAGCCCAAATAAAAAAACAAAAACATATTTACATAACATAACAGAAACCAAAACTTCCATTACACAATGTACTTTCACCTCTTCCAGTCACAGTGTAAGTTTTCCCTTTCAACTCACAAATACCCTAAGGCTTAGAATATTGTTCCCCTATAACAGATACTCAGCAAATGCTTGTTGGATGAATGGAAGATGTCAGCACCATGAGACCCTGGTGATACAAAAAGGAGGTGATACAAAACTAGGTTCTTCAGGAGAGACTAAGTTAACACAGTTTCCTGGCTAGGTTTGATTGTGACAGTAGAGAGAATGGAAAACTTGATAGACCCTGGAGGTGTGCAGGAAGTAGGTTCCAGCTGGGCAAAGACCAAAACAAAGCCTGTCATATGAAAGGCTTGGTGCTGCATTCAACAGCCAGAGCAAAGGGCCCAGGTCCAGTCTGCAATTCAGGACAGGGGGGTCATCAGGGGGGTCAGCAGGGACAGTGTGGGCAGCCACACACAAAAGCTCCCAGTAACCTTAGGTAACAGAATGTGTATTCTCAGGAAGCTTCCATCTCCCTGAATGTTAACTTAATGAAACACAAAATCTAAAAGGCAAGCATGCCATCATAAAAGGCCCACCCATTCTACCATCCCCTTCCTAGAGGAAAGACACATGTGCAAGTGGAGGCCTTTTGATAATTAAGCAAGACTAGAAATTATGCAAATGAAATACATTCAAGTATGCAATGAATTTTAAATGACAGAACTACAGAAGACTTAATTGCTGTATTAGCATGCTATAAAAACACTAATCATAAATGTAAAACAATGCATGCAGATACTTAAATCCAAACTGTCCTGATGACACAAAAATCAATGTGTTCCCTCCCACTGCGTTCATATGCAAACCGACTGCAACACACTGAAAGAAGATATGTTGATACTGGAGCCTCACTGTCATTTTTAGCCAATATCCTCACTAGCCTAAATGTTAAATGTTTAATTAGTTTTTTGTTCACTCTTTCTGAAACAGTTACTTAAAAAGAGAGAACCAAAAAATATGATTCTCTTTGGGACTAATTTTGAAAAAGGTCCTATGCTGCTTGCATGTAATTTAAAAGTTAAATAGCATCGCTAATGTTTAATGGAGTGCTCTGGCTACCACACTCTTCAGAACAAGGGCCACACAGCCAGGTTTCTCCTCTAAAGCAGAGTTTCCTCTCATTAATTAAAACTAACACTTGCCACAAACACTAGAATTGTGCCAATGACAAACCATGGCATGCTGGAGGAAAGTTACTAGTGGGCCAGACCTTGAACTAGGTTTATAATCTAGTCCCCACTCACCTATTACCACCCAGCCCAGGCCCGGGCTCCAGGTGTGTCAGGTCCAATGAGAACTACCTGCAGCGAAGCCATGCAGTTTTCAGAGACCAGCTTCTCACCTGCTCATGAGCATCCTGGTCCTTTCATGCTGCCTTGAACCCTAGAACATTCGGGTTCAACCTGGGTGCACTAGCAAGCCCAGGTATCAGTTTTACATAACCTTCTAAGGTGACAGTAAAATGCAAGCAGATGGAAAGAGACCACAGATCAGGAGCCCATACTCACTGACCATGCCCTGCTCTTTGTCTACAGTCAGGTGCTCCAAGGACACTCTGACACAGGACATCAGGTTCAGTGAATATGTGACACCTATGTCCAATCTGGATTGTCTGTTCAGATCTGTGACAGGTCCCAGACCTATGACAGCTTCCAGGGCAGTCACAAGGGAAACAATGTTAATCAGCAGGATTCAGAGACTGTGTAAGACACAAGTGGGACAAGAGTCTTCTCTCTCAACACCCTTCCCTCAAATATTCTGCAACTGACAGACATGCTCCCCAGACCTTTATTACAGAAAATATGCTGAGATGGCTAATTTTATGTCAACTTGACACAAGCTAGAGTCATCTGAGAGAAAGGAACCTCAGTTGAAAAAAATGCAGTAAGCAAGTCTGTAGAGCATTTTCTTAATTAGTGATTGATAAGAGATGGCTCAGTCCATTGTGGGTGTGCTCACCCCTGGGTTGACGGTCCTGGGTTCTATAAGAAAGCCAGCTGAGCAAGCCATGGGGAGCAAGCCAGTAAGCAGCACCCCTCCATGGCCTCAGCATCAGCTCCTGTCTCCAGGTGACTGCCCTGTTTAAGTTCCTGTCCTGACTTCTTCAGTGATGGACTACAGATGTGGAAGTATAACCCACATAAACCTATTCCTCCCCAACTTGCTTTCGGTCATAGTGTTTCATCACAGCAATAGTAACCCTAACTAAGACACATGCTAAGGCTGACAGAGTCTGTGAAGTAGCCATCAAACATGGAACCTATTCTCACACAAGCTCCAGGGTCTAGCTGGTTCCAATTGAGAAAGGACCCCACCAATTCTGACCAACTCCTACCTGGCCACTCTATGTCTGACCAGCATACCAGCTAAGTGGTGTCCTCTCCTGTGCAGGTCCTGAACCTCCAGGCAGCAGACTTGCAAAGGAACAGCATCACAGACCCAAGTGCTGGACAAAGTCATTGCCTGTGCCTGTGCCTGTGCCTGTGCCTGTGCCTGTGCCTGTGCCTATGCCCTGCAGAAGAGCCAATTTCTGCCAGCTCTAGCAGCTAGGAACAGGGTCCTGGAGAAATGACTCCTTTTCTGTGCAGTGAACCCTAGGCCTGCACTGTGTAGTGACAAAAGGAAAGACTTTCTCTCTGTATGGTGTAGGACCCAGGAGGGCTGGGACTGAGTCTCAGGCATACCCTGTTCTTTCCCAGCACCAAACACAGTGCCTAAAACACACAGGGCTTAACCAGTCCCCAGCAGATAACTAGATGTACTCACCAATCATTACCCAGGTTGCTTTCCTTCCAGAAACAGCTGCACATCCCTGGCTCAAGTCCTTCAGGATGAGGGCCATGTTACCTGAGGATCAACTGGACAAGGCCTCCTCCTGATCCCTGGCCTTTGCCCTGCCTTCCTACACAGGCCCAAAGAGGAATACTTGCCTAGTCTATGCTACTGACCTGCCCCACCCCACTACACCCTTTAACCTTGTGACCTTCCCAACCCCCTCATTCCAGTAACACTGACATTCTTCAGAGATGCTGTGTAAGCACGAATCTGTGCTAAGAAGCCTTGCCCAGCATCTACACTCGTTTATACTCCCCAGGAACTACTTCCTTGGGGAAGAACAGATTTTCTCACTAACCTCCTCGCCTGTTAATTTGTGCCTGAGAACTAACCTGCTCCTTCTGACCTCCTTGTGAACTTGCAATGGCCTTGGAGACAGAGTGTAAAGCCTCCCCCTTACAAAACCGAGCCTAGGAATTGGCTACCCCATATTACCATCCCAATCCCTCCTCTTGGTTGACACTCAGGCCCTGAACGTCTCACAGGTACACTGTGCCAAACTGTGCTGGACTTACCCTGCTGAGTGCCTGAGCCCTGGACCAGCACCCACTAGCACCTGGGTCTCTAGGGCTATCACTGTTTCTGGGCAGGCCCCTACAGGTTTTTCTTTGGTTTATAGTGCCAGCACTCCTAAGTACAGACACCCAGGTCCACACCAATAGGATGGGGCCACCCAACACTCACCCCACCCCAACCCCTGCTATTCCTCTGATGCTCTTTGCCCACCAACATGGCAGCCACTGTGACTATGCAGCTCAGGGAACTGTAGTTATGACTTATACAAGCTCAGAAGTGAAGAAAAGAGCAAGAGCAAGCAGCGCTGTTGAGACGCTCCACCCAGAACAGCCCATTCTTGATGAACATAAAACTATTATATAGGAGCTTCCAGGCATTTACATTATAACTTCCTACAAACCAATCATGAATGTGCAACCTCTTTTAGAGGACATTTGGAAACATGGTTATAAACACTTAAAAAAAACACAAAACAGAGCACAAGTGATCACAGCAGGTCTAGCCTTAATTGCAAGAGATATTTAATCAATAAATATTTGCTGTTCAGAGCTGCATCTGCATTTAGGATTACGAGGTACTGAGCTGAAAATTTATCACGACTCATTAGCACAAAAGTCTTTTAAATACTGAAAGTCAGGCTCAATTTAGAGTAGGTGACTAGAGTTCCCCGTGACTAATCTCCAAAAATAAAACAAAGGGAAAAGAGAAGCAACCTGCCAATAAACTATTCTCACTTCTGATCTCAAGCCAGGGTAAGTAGGTGAAGGAATGAAGACAGCCACCAACAGCCACTGAGCTTTTCCACAGGGCTTTCGGACTGGCAGCTTAGTGCTGGGGCTCAGGGCGCTGGCCCCCACACTCCACCACACAAAGAAGCTATTCCCAAAACCTCCTGCCCTGACTCCTTGCCCTCTCCCTTTTCCTGTCCTCTTTCCTCCTCTTCTTCCTTCTCCTCCTCTCCCTCTTCCTCCTCTTCGGTCTGCTCTTCTTCCTCTTCCACTTCTTCCCCCTTTTCCTTTTGTCCCTCCCCTTCCTCCTCTTATTGGTCTCCCTCCTCTTCCTTCTTCTGCTCCTCCCCTTGTTCTTATTCAATAGCGGCATTGCCAATACTTCTTGGCCAACACACACTCATGTCCCCTGAGCTGTGTGGTCTTCTGTGCTACAAGCTCCTGGGTCACTAGTGTGCATACAGTGATTCTTTAATGATGGAAGTTGGGGGGAATGAACACAACTGTCACGATCTGTTGCTTCCTCTCACTTTCTGCCAGACTTGCCAAACCAACCTTGAAATTAAGCTAAAACTAGACAATGCCTTCTTGGACACAGCAAAGGCCCGAGTCACTATGCAACCAAGAAAGACAAGAATGAGGCTGTGGCCTGCAAGCCACACTCCCCCAGCCTAGTGCCAGGCCATTGTACTTGAAGGCGGAAAGTGGGTAGGCTGAGCATAGGCATGCAGACTTACTGAGAGAAGTTTCCATGTCATTGGACGAACTGGCTTTGGGATTCCGGACCAGCTCAGCTTCCGTAATTCCTCTGTCGGAAGTTAAAAAACAGAACAGAGAAAAGAAGAGTTACAAAAGGTTTTATAGCATCTTACCATCCTATCAGTATCCCCAGTAGAGCAGAAGCTCACAAATGGAACCAAAGTAAGCTTAATGATAAATATTTCAGGGAGTGACTGTCCTTGATATAAATGATACTGAGTCAGCACACTATTAAAGCAAAGCAGAGCACCTCCTGTTTGTGTGTAAGTCTTAGAAAGGACATGTTTGTCAAACAGAGACGGGTATCTCTGGTGCCACCCTAAGAGGTGAGGCCCTCCCTCCCTGGGGAAGTAGCATGCAAGGTAGCAGCTCCCTCTCTTCCCACTGACTCTGTGTCCTCTTGAACTTATAATGCTAAGCCTCCATGGGGACAGCTTAGCTGGCTCTCCGTCTCTCTACTACTCTGTCCTACTCACTGTTTCTTAATGCCCATCAGAGTAGTCTTCTCAGCACTGGTATGGGAGGTGAGCTTGTCTTTACACATCACTGACAAAAGTGTGTCACAGGGTACACAACTAGCATAAGAGAGCTTCAGGGCAGAAAAGCACAAGGCCTGAATGTCTTGACAAACACCACCAAGAGAAAAACAGAGAAGGACTGGGCAGAGAGAGAGGGGCCTACAGCCAAGGCAGTAAGTGCCTCAGAGAGTAAGGAAAGTCACAGCCAGACAGTGGAGAAGAGCAGCAAGCCCTGGTTCTACCTGTCCCTGATCTCCCTGGGTAGCTAGAGAGCTCATATGGGTATGTAGAAATGTCCACACACTCCAGTTCCAGCAAGACAAAGGCAATTGCTTCCTTTGCTTCAGTTAGAAATCTACTATTAGACTCTCCTAACAGCTCAGAGCTTGTGATTAATACCGGGAATAAGAGAAGTGATTACAGAGAAGACTTTGGTAATATAATCAACAAAATGTAAAGTCTTGACATCTAATCTTTTTCCAATTACTAAAGTCTAAGTAAAATAAGTACAGAGTAATTGGCAACAGCACCAGCAATAACCTGCATTCACAGAAACCTCAGAAAACATCAAATTTCCCCCAGTTCCCCAAGACACCGTGGAGAATGGGGACCTAACTTCCAGAAAGCAGTGTTTGCTAACCAGGCTAGCAGGGCCTCTACCTCCTTGCAGCGCCTCTCCTTCCATACAGTGCTGGTTTCTAGCTGTGATTTATGGAAACAGCATAGAGAAAACACACTAATGTTCTCTGATCCCTATCTCTACATTAAAAATACACACACACACACACACACATATATACACATTCAAAGTCAAGAATCTTGAATATACATCATGAGAATATACAGTTCTCTTTTTGTCAAGGCTCAGTGTTTAAAAAGAGCTTTGCATACATTCTCTCACTGGCTCCTCAAAGCAGCTTGGATTAATCAGCGCTGTGAGCCATGTCCATGAATGAAAACTGGTCTCAACGAGGTTAAGTAACTTGGCCTTTAATACCAGGCTCTTTTCACTGTATTAACTCCCATTCTTAAAGATTTTGTAACACAGTCAAACACTACTTATTATATGAATATAGACAAAGATCCCAAAGAATGTCTTAACAGATTCAAACACAGTAGTCTACCTGAAGAACAGTACACATCAGAAGACTCACCCCAGCAGTGTTGTTGAATCTGCTGATGGGGAAAAGCCACACTCAGTGATGACAGATGCCCCAAACATAGCTGCTCTCTCTAGCAGAATGTTGCCTACAACTCCTGAGAGCAAAACTAAAATGCTGAAGTGTGACAAGCAGCCTGCCAAGTACAGGCTCCAGAGGGGGCCTGTGAGGTGCTGATGCATGGCTGAGCTCCTTCCCTATGGTCAATGTGCAATGGGACTGGGGTTCCATCTTAGATACGGGGAGAATAGTACAATTGCCCAGGACTCCAAGAAAGTCCTCACTCTTATGGAACACTTGGAAGCCACCACATTTCTTCCTCTGACAGTGCCCCCATTAGACATGAGACTAAGGACCATTACAACGATCGAATGGAGCAGCCTGCAGCCAACTAAAGAGAACAAGAAGCAGGAGAAGATGTAGGGCCACACTAAGCAGGTAGGCAGTGCACAAACTGGCCAAAATAGCAGTTTCTCTCTGTGGAACAGAGAAGTGACAGCTGTGAAGGGTGTGAGCCTAAGAACTGTGCTGGCCAGCTGGGCAGGGTGGTGTGCGCCTTTAATTCCAGCACTTGGGAGGCAGAGGCAGTCGATCTCTGTAAGTCAAGGCCAGCCTGGTCTACAACTTGAATTCTAGGACAACCAGGGCTCTACAGAAAAGCCCTGCTTTAAAAAAAAAAAAAAAAAAAAAAAAAAAACAAACAAACAAACAAACTGTGCAGGCCACATGAGGAAACTAACTCACAGGTTTCCCTTGGAAGAGCACAGAGAGAGATAGGTGCTGGGCATAACAGGTTTAAAGTATAGTTAGTTCCTCTGGGGTAGGCAAACAGCCAGAGGTAAAGAAATCACAGCCATGAGCAACACCAAATATGGCCTCTATGCCTAGCACTGGGGAGGGCTCACCTCCCACCCAAAGCAAATGTAACTAAACCAAAGCCATAACTAAACCAACCAATCAACAGAAAGGGCCAGAGGGCTAGGAAGCTAAGTGGGAAGTGTTATTTCCAGAGGTCAGGCTGGTTCCTTAGAGAACGTGACAACAGAAAACCTGAGTCAAGAAAAGGAGTATTCTAAGCCCAGGCGTAGTGCATACAAGCCTGGCCTAGTGTGGACAACAAGCTGGAAGGCCAAAAGTAGATACAAGGAGACTGAGGAATCTCAGCCTGCAGGGGAGGGCAGCAAGAAAGAAAAGCAAAGACCAGATAGAGAAGTGCTAAATAAAAGCATGACAAGTCAAACTAGGTTGGATAGATAAGTGGGTTTCAGACTGTAAAATTATGTCAACTGTCACCTAAAAGGAAATGTAATTTTAATACAAAGAAAATTAAAATTGCAATGGGCTCTTCTGGATATATCCTAAAATTTGGCAAGTTCATCTGAAAGAACAAAGGCCCTGTAAGAGCTATAAAATTCTTACTAAGAATAATTGGGAAGGGAGAAAGGGGGAAACTACAGTCAAGATGTAATACATGAGAGATGACTATTTTTTTAAATTTTACAAATAAATAAATAACGTGGAGCTAGGGAGATGTGTGTCAATAAAGTGACTGCCAACAAGCCTCAGAGCCTGAATTTCAATCCCAAATACCCATGTACCTATACGGCAGCATGTGCTGGGATCCCAGTATGCCAGGCAAGAGTAGTAGTAAGGAGGATCTCTGAGCCTGAGCCTTGCTGGTCAGTTAATCTTGACAAATCCATAAACTCTAGACTCAGTGAAGCACCTTTTCTCAATAAATAAGTGGAAATTTTTGAGGAAAAAAAACATGACATCAACCTCTGGCCTCTATGCACTTGTGCACACAGACGCACACTGTATACCACACAATAAACAAAATAAAGCTGGGAAGTGGTGGCACACGCCTATAATTCCAGCACTTGGAAGGTGGAGGAAGGTGGATCACTGTGAGTTTGAGGCCACCCTGCTCTACAAAGCAAGTTCCAGGACAGCCAAGGCTACCTCAAGAAACCCTGAAAAAACATAAATAAATAGATAAATAGGTAGGTAGCTTAGATAGACAGACAGACAGACAGACAGACAAAAATAAAGAATGTAGAGCTGGAAAGATAGTTCAGTGGTTAACGTTGACATTCCAAAGGACCCAAGTTCAATTTCCAGCACCCACATCAAGTAACTCACAACCATCTGGAACTCAAACTCCAGAGAATCTGATGCCTCTGGCCTCTGTAGACACCAGCACTCACATGCACATATCCACATGTAGACAGACACCTACACATAATTTAAAATAATAAAAATAAGTCTTTGAAAGCCGATTTCCCAAAAAAAAATAAGGAAGATGGGCATGGTGGCACACACATTTAACACCAGCACTCAGGAGGCAGAGGCAGGAGGATCTCTATGAGTTCAAGGTCAGCCTGGTCTAGACAGCCAGGGCTACACAGAAAATAAATAAATAAACACACAAACGAATGAATAGGAGAGCTTTGCAGTAACAGTTAAAAATCAATGGCAGAGTTGCAGGCATAAAGACAGGAGCCTCTTGTGAGAGACAAAGGAAAAGAAACACTTGAGGCAGGAATAACGGCTCAAAATCAAACCTGTGCACACATGAGCACTAAGATGTGATAAAGTGACATTGAGCCAACACTGCACCTATTTCTAGAAAAGGTTCTGTGCCTTACCACAAAAAGGGTAGTCTGGCTGCTTCTGTGTGTAAAGGAAAGACTGCGGCACAGAGGGAAGAGTCTTCTGCTACACTTTAATGGGAAATGGCCTTCCAAACCAAAACAAGAACCTCAGAAACACATCAATCATTATTTTTTTTTAAAATGCCCTAAAAGATTGCCTGCAGCATGATCTTATGGAGGCATTTTCTCAATTGAGGGTCCTATATCTCAAATTCCCCTAGCCTGTGTCAAGCTGACACAAAACTAGCTAGCACATTAACACACTGTATTAGTTACTGCAACAGTCCATGGAAAAAGCAGTTTAAGGGAGGAAGGCTTTATTCTGGCTCACAGTTTGAAGACATAGTCCATCATGGCAGGAAACTCAGGATGGCAGGAGAATGCCAAGACTATTTACACTGAGTCAGGATGCAGAGAGAGATGAATACTGGTGCTCCGTTCACTTTTCCCCTCTTATTCAGTCTAGGACTCCAGCCACCCACTTAGAGCTGGTCTTCTCACCTCAATTATCTAGGTCTAGGCACCCCTTCTCGAGAATGTACAGAGGTTTGTCTCGTAGGTGATTTTAGATGTTGACAATATTATCCATCAAATACACTATTTTGACATGCAGTGTCTCTTTCCTCTACTTGGAAATATCTAGTTCATCTTTGAACCGCCACCTTCAGCAGAAGTCTCCAAAGCCATTCCCTGTCACTTAGATCAGCCCAGCTTGGG